CTTTACACCATTTACACAGTAATAACTTCTATCAATTGCTTGCTTCTTGGCGACATTAGTGCGTTCAAGTATTATGTTGGGATACATGATTTTAATGCTGTACACTTGCTATTCTTGAATCATATACTGACTTGAACTACACTGGAAATGAAAGTCTATGGAAACAAGAGTGAAAACGTGTATTTCAGCTTTAATAATAATTGAATGGTGTTGAAAATAATATACATGTATCAGAAAATAAACTGGTAATATCTACAAGTACTATAGGTAATGAATCTAGTTACTATATGTTATGCTTGAAACAGTTTTAGAAAATATTCTCAAACATGCAACTCGGAAAAATAGAAAACAAATAAATAAGCGAACACAGAATAGTTCTACAGTTCAACACTACAATCCACCTCTAGTTATTCTACTTCAGAGAAAGAACGTGATAACATAAGTCAGGGTTCAGTATTCATGTTGTTGGTATGAACTAAAGCTGGCACTTCCAACAATTCCAGAATTTAATGCATTGACATCTCCATTTCCTGCTGTGCAATCAGTTTCTCCTTTCTGGCAAATGCCCTGAAAAAAAAAAAAAAAAGAAATATTCTAGACACTAGCAATCTAAACACTAGTATATAAAAATGTCATTGACGAAAAAAATAAAAAAGAACAAACAAACAAATATAAATTGTATGGTCTTACTGGGCCCCAAAACCTATAAACCATACAAACATTACCTACTAGTATATGGTACCTTACTTTGTCTCCAGATAATAGGGCCATTCAGATATTACCTGTACGGTGACATACCTAGTACAAAGAGGAAAGGGCCATGCAAAGTTTACCTATAGGTGCCTTACCTGGTCACCAGATGAAAAGGCTACACAAACATTACCTGTACTGTGCCTAACATGGTTCCCAGATAAAAGGGCCACGCCAATATCACCTGTAGGGTGCCTTACCTGGTCCACAAATAAAAGGGCCACGGAAATATTACCTGTACAGTGCCTTACCTGGTCCACAAATAAAAGGGTCATGCAAATATTACCTGTATGGTTCCTAACCTGGTCCCCAGATGAAAGGGCCACGCAAATATCACCTGTACGGTGCTTACCTGGTCCCTACATTATGAAAGGCCCATGGAAAGTATTTCCCGTATACGTTACAGGTACGCGTACGGCGTTTTACTGGTAACGTAATCTAGACCCAAGTCCCTCACGCAGTCATTACCTGTAAGGTTTCCAGAGCTAAGAGCCGCACAAATGACTGTTTGTGGCTTATCCACCGAAGTGGAGTGATTATAGTCGTAAAGGTTGACGTTTTTTTGCCCCTAAAAGTTGTGGATAAACGCCGGCAGCCCTCCCCACCGCTAGCTATCCCTCACTGCAGCAGCTGATACCCCGACCAATAGCAGCGTGGAGCTTGCTGAGAAATTGACCAATAGCGGCGTGGCCGTCTTTCGTGGCCGTCCTACCATATTCTAGACCAAGCCATACCTC